CACTGCCAGGAGTAATTCCTGAGTGAAGAGCCAAAAATAAGTAAATAAATAAATATTTTTGAAAAACAGAACTTCTTTATCAGGGGAGTCCTTTATATTAATCTGATCTGTTTAGGTACATAAAATGAATATAAAATTTAAAAACAAAAGGAATGAGTTGGAAGGAAGTTTTGAAGATAACCCAAACCACTGTTCCTTTGTGACAATTGTGATTATACTTAAGAAAAACCACCGCATAACCTTTTCTTTATGCACACACAGCAATCTTATTTCTAGAAGTACAATTCCAATCCAAATTCTATGAACATCTGAGAATGTCATTCCCAAGACCCGTAACTGGGACTGACCGTTTTGGGAATGTAATCTTGAAACCTGCAAACTTGCCTGGCCTTGCTAGCCATGGGAACTGTTCCTGGCTTCTAGCTCCATTTTTCAGAGATTTGGTGGATGACTGTGACAGACATTTTTATCTTATTTTTTCTTCCTTTTCTGCCTGCACTGACAAAACAATGTTATCAAGTAGTTTTACTTGGGATAGTCACAAGAACTTGGGAATACTGTATTTCAATGTGCACATCAGTAGAATTTGGCAACTTTCATTGCAGTGCACACGCTCATTCCTTCCAGGCATGTAGGCTGACAAACTGTATTCCTCTTAATCTAGTTTAGCAAAAATGCCATGGTTAGTATTATAAAGACAGAAAACAGCTCTCATCACCTCCACTTCTACCCTGACCAAAGTCATCACACCTCACTTTAATTACTACCATTTTTTAAAAAAAACTGGTCTAGCTTCTACCCTTGCTCACTAGTGTAGTCTCAATTTGCGATTCAATTTGACCCTTTACAGTTAAGTCACAAAAGACATATATTTCAAAATATTGAAAATATTCTGACAAAATATTTTCAGGGCCTGTCTTGCTCAGAATAAAAGTCAACTTTCTTTAAAAAAATTTTGGGGGGGCCAGTCACACATGGTGACCCGTCGGGCTTACTTCTGGCTCTGTGCACAGATATTACTCTTGGCAGTGCTCAGGGGAGCAGATGGGGTGCCAGGGATTGAACCCAGATCAGCCATGTGTAAGACACACACCCTACCCACTGTACGATCACTCTGGCCCCAAGATTTCAACTTTTCTTATAGTTGAGTAACATTCCACTGTGTACACAGGCCATGTCCTTTTTTGTTTACCATTTATCTGTTCTTGGTCACCCAGGTAGTTTTGTTATTTTGGTTATTGCAATAAACAAAGTAGTACAAATATTTTTTTTCACAATAGTTCTTTTGGACCTTTGGGGTAGACCCCAAGGAGTGGAATTGCTGGGTTGTATAAAAGCTCAATTCCTAGTTTTTTGAGAAGAGCTCATATTGCTTTCCAATGGCAGCTGAACCACAATATATTATTATTCACAGTGGATGAGGATATTCAAGTTGGCTGTATAATGAGATAAGTGAGGCCAGAGATAGTACAGCAATATGATGCTTGCCTTGGATGTGGTTGACCAGTGTTCAAACCCAGGATCCCTATAAATGGTCTCCCAACACTTGCAAAGAATGATCCCTGAGTACAAAACCACTAGTAAGTCCCGAGCACTATTGCATGTGGCCCAAAAAACAAAACAATAGCAACAAAAGAAAAATCGGGGCCAGAATGATAGCACAGCAAGTAGGGTGAGTTTGTCTTGCACTTGGCCCACCCGGGTTTGATCCTGGGCATCCCATATAGTTCATTTGTGTACTGCCAGGACTGATTCCTGAGTGCAGAGCCAGGAGTAACCTCTGAGCATCGCTGGGTGTGATCCACTCCCCAACAACAACAACAAAAAAAGATAAATCATGCAGTTTGCTGGTTTGTGGATTTAACTATAGAGTATTACACTGAGTGAAGGAAAGGAACAGATAGAGAATGATCTCTCTCATTTGTGGGGCATTCTAAAACATACTAAAGAAATAAAATAGCCAAAGGCAATAGAACGTAAAAACTGGTCTATGGAACTGAGTTTTCGAAGGATTGGAGAGTGGGGGCAAAAACCAGTGGTGGAAACTGTGGTATTGAAAAACTGGATGCAACCCTATCACCACCAGTGCTGTCAATCACGGTGCTTTAAATGAAAAAAAAAATTATTTTTTTCAAATAAATAAAAAAAAGAAACCATCTTGCTCAATCACTAGCCTTCCTTGTTCCTGCTTCTTGCCTCTCCAAGTTTCCCTCCTTCTTCAGGAATGCTCTCCTAAAAGGGGCTCCATCCTGGGAGTGCGGACATGACTCAATGGCCTGAAGAGGATGCTTTTGCACACGGGACCCCCAACTTCTGATACTGCATGATCCACTTCACTCCAACCATGTCAGGGATGTGACCTAGCATAGTGATCTATGGCTCCCAAACCAAAGCAAATACTTCAATGAGGCCTCTCGTGGCTCTCTCATTCTAAACATCACACGCCAGCGCACACAACTTTCCCATCTGTTCTGGTTATTCTCCATAGCACTGATCGCCCATTCAGAGCTTCCTGCACTTTCTCGGGAGCTGAGGAGACTCTACTGCTACGGTTCCAGGTATCACAGAGGAGCTGCTGCTTCCGAATCCTCCTCGGGGTCAGAGAGATTGTACAGTAGGTAGATGCTTCTCTTGCATGTGGTAGAGCCAGGTTCAACTTGGCACCCCCTTGGATCCCCTGAGCCAGCCAGGAGTGATCCCTGAGCACTGCCAGGTAGGGCTAAAAAAACAAACCGAACCGAAACAAAACTCATAAGAATTCTTCTAGATTTGTAGTATTTCTGCACTTCACTAAACTGTATTACTCAGACTTTAGGGAGCCCCAGAGCACCAATGGAGCTACTTCAACCCAGAAATCCCGAGCCCATATCTTAGTTTCGGATTGGGTAGGACTGTGATAGGGCCTGTGAGTTGCATTACTAATGATACTTTTCAAAAACTACTAGTTGAATACAGAATATGATAGATTTGATTGTGCTTTTACCCCACTAGAATATAAACTCTCTGAGGTAGGGGTTTTCCCTACTCCTTTTCCGTTTTCTCTTTCAAAAGACAATATAGGAGCCCCTCAAGAAACAGATGAATGACTAGAGGGAAACTACTTACCCTAACGTTACACAAGCAGATTTCTAATTTTTGTCTTCTCCCATTTCATGCAAAGAAATCCATTCAAATAAATAAAAAAGAATAATTATAAAGTTCACTTTCCTCCCTCCAAACACATTTTTAAGGAATGGGGCACAGAGACAACTGGGATTGGCTAATAACTGCCTGCCAGTAAGTCATTTTCAACAGCTTACATTGTATTGATAACAAGGTTAACAATAAACATGCACTGAATGCCAGTGTGCTGAGCACTTGGGTTATGGAACTGCATTTAATGTACAGAACCCTTAGTTTTCCTAACAAAGGGGAGGCAGTGGATTGCTTCCATTCCCAGATGGGGCAGGTGTCCGGAGCCCATTCTTGATGCACCCCACACTTCCATAGTTTCTTTCCTCCTTGTGATCTCCTTTCTGGGAGCAACAGGTAGCCTGGGAAAGTTTTTTCTTCTAGTACACAGACTTCTAAGTTAAAATTGGGTGAAAAAATATTTACCTTGGATAACATTAAAGATCATGCCTATCAATGTTCTATTAGATGAAGTTCTAGAAAACTGCATTAGAATGCTGTACTGATGTAAACACTAACTCTTAAAAATGTTGTAGGAAATTAATTGTGAAAAGATGACAGTCACTTCCAAAGGGATGCTTCTAGGGGTTTGTTTCTTGCAAAAATTTAGAATAGCTTATTCTGTCTGAATGTTCATTCTATTAAACCCTATAAATAATTTACACGTAAGCAAAAGACAGACAATTATGAGTTAATGGTTTTCTTTCAGAGTGTTGTAATGGGTTAGCAAACTTTCTAAAAGTAACAAATAATACATATTGTAGACTTGCAGACCATATAATTTTAGAGTCATGGAAAGTGACCACAGAAAAACTACATGAATGGATATAATTTTGTCTCAATAATAGGTTTCTAGCCCATAATTTGCTGGCCCCCAATTGTAAAAAAACAAAAAACAAAAATTAAATTTAGTGGAATTAAAGAAAAGAAAAGGACCATAAAGGACCAAACATGATGGCCTCTCAGTATCTGTATTGCAAACCATAATGCCTAAAAGTAGAGAGAGAGTTAGAGGGAAACTGTCTGTATAGAGGCAGGGGGAGGAGCGGGAGGTAAGGGGAGGAATACTGCGGACATTGATGGTGGAAAATGTACACTGGTGGAAGATGGGTGTTCAATCATTATATGAATGAAACTCAAACATGGAAGCTTTGTAACCATATCTCACGGTGATTCAATTAAAAAAAAGTATCTGATAAATTTCAGGTGTATCATCCAAATATATCTCTTAAAGAAAAAACCTCTTCTTATAGACACTCCTGGAACTAAAAATTTTTCTTAAAAAATGACAATTATAACACGCAAATCAGACATTTAGCTCCATAAGGAATTGAATTAGTTAAAAGAATTCCTTGCATTTATTTTTCAACACAGCACAAATGCAGGTGACATAATAAGCCCATACTCACCCACCCCCACAGCAAATTATAAATTTAACAACTAAGAGTTTAAATTCTTATAATCTTCTGCATCACTCATTGCTATACACTCTATGGAGTCTTCTCCACAGTGGTAGAGAACATTAACTCAAAGCACCAAGTTTCCAGGCATTACTACAAATGTCTTTTTTTCATTCTCTAGTACATGCAGTAAAACTGCTTATAAAGTATGTGTCAATTTGCCTTAAGCTTCAATGAGCAACCAACATTATTTATAGGTCAATATGTGGTTCTGTATGCCTTATATTTCTTTCAATGAAAATCAAAAATTTTAATGTAGGTGGATTTAAGTCAAAAATTTAATCTTGAACATAATTTCTTTCAGATTCATGTTAAGAGTTATGTTCAATAATAAATAAATTCTGAAGAAAACAAAACTGATTTCTAATCTAGAATATTCTGGCAAATTTTATTAAAATTTAAGTTCAGAATTTTAGAGTGAAATAATATGGTGTTTGTCCAAATAACAGAGTAATAAATTCCTTAATAATGTAAATTAACATACAAAGCTTATTCCCAAAACAGTTCATAGAAGTGTGTTTCATTTTTTAAAGCAGAGTTCAATGTACATTTTTAGAATCTTTTAACATCAGCCCTATATCCTCAGGAAATAAATGATCCATTAAGTGGACAATGAAAACTGATTGAGGCAGATGAATGCTTCAACAAGAATCTGATACACAGACACAGATTTCATTGTTGTATTCAATGGAATTGAAGTCTTTGAAAACTGTGCTCTTGATAGGCTGAAGATGGAGTAACGGACTGTTAGTTCTTTAAAAATGCATGGATCTGTTGCACAAAGCCTTCATTCTCTGCCTGTCGTCAGTAACTTGAGGGCCTTCTGCAGATTCTGCACTGCTGTGCTGACATCTTCATACTGCAAAGCACTGCCAGCATATTTGCAGTATTTTTGAGCTCTAGCAAAGTCTTCTGGTGTTAAATGAATATCCCCTAAAAAGAAAAAATTAAGATATAATATGTAAAATGTGCTCTGATGAGTTTAGGTAAATACATACAAAATTATAAAAAAAAGGGCTATAAAATTCAGTTTATATTTTATCAATTCAGCTATATTTAAATAGGCGTTGAGATACTTTTTCTTTTCTTCTTTTGCTTTTCTTTTTCTTATTTTACAACTTTCTGATTACTAATATACTAATATTTTACTTATTACTAATATAAACTATACATAAACCAATACATGAAAACTTGTTTAAGACTCCCCCCCACCAAGAGTATAATTAATCTGTATTCTGGCAAATTAATTTCAAGAATATTATATCCTGTGTAATACAGCTTTGCTGTTTATGCTAGGATCTCCCAGTCCCTCTTCAAGGAATACTAAACACAGAGTAAACCATTCAATCCTAATGTGATTTAGAATATAAATACAATCAGCACCATCAACAACAAAGTCAAAATGTCATGTAAAAATTATACTAAAATATTTATAAGAAAAAATGAATTTTTTTTAAGCATGAAAAGTTTGTATTTTGGAGCCTATATTAAAAACTCCAAGATCTAGCCAAAATTTTTATCATTAAGCTACAAAATTAAACATGCAGACAACTCTTTGTTTGTTTGTTTGTTTTTGCTATTTGGGTCATACCTGGGGAAGAACAGGAGTTACTCCTGGCTCTGTACTCAGGAATTACTCCTGGCGGTGGTCAGAGGACCATATGGGATGCTGGGAATTAAACCTGGGTTGACCACATACAAGGCAAACACCCTATGCGCTGTGCTATCACTCCAGCCCCCATGTAGACAATTCTTAAAAATTGTTTCTCTAAAATTTATATTCATCATGTTTTCAGTTGCACGATTATGTTAAGATAATTTAGGTTAAAAACTAAAATCACTTAATTTCATCTGTGATTCAAATATACATATCTAAAGATGAAAAAATAAGCTACAGATTTTATATCTCTTCTCTTTTAAAACAAATGATATTCTCTAGAAATTTTTATTACGATTCTACGGAGAACTGTATAGGATGTAACATATATAGTTTGATTCCACTTCGAAGAAAATGGCTTTGCTCAGTTGCTTTTAATTCTACACAGCAAAAAAAAAAAAAAAAAAAACTCTGACATTATTTAGTTATGGATTTCAAAATTAAAGTAGCAATTCTGAGCATTTTGATTCTAAATTCTGATCCAATTTATTATGCTCTAGGATTTTTAAAGAGTACTGAAAGTGTCTGGAAGAAATTTCCAGTACCCCGTTAGGCACCTGCAAGTACTTAATAACATTAACTAATAAATATTAAAAAGTGCTATTTATTTCCCATATTTAAAGATACATAACATCCATATAGAATTACATTTTAGATGCTGAGATAAGATATATCTACATAACAGTATCCAGTTCGGTGTGTTACATTATACAAGCCCTCAAACAGCTGTGCAGTATTACTAAATTATTAATAGCTACAAAGAGTTGGTCTTTACTGTTAAGAGTCATAGATAAAACACGTTAATTTTTTTCTTTCTTTCTTTTTTTGATACCAGAGACTACTTCCAGCAATACTGAGCCTGTTGGGCTGAACAACTGATACCCATGAATTCATTATGAAATATTTAACAGCCTAGTATTACTGCAAACACACACATGTATATATTAAAAGATGGTAAGCAACAAATAATAAGGAGAAAATGTAACAGGAAAATAGAAGCACCAGAAGGGGTGGTGAAGGGGGTGGTGAAGGTCATTATGCAAAATCAATCTCTGTCTGTCTGTCTGTCTGTCTGTCTCTCTCTCTCTCTGTCTCATTTGATTTTTGGACCACACAGGGGACAATATATGGTGCCAGCTATTGCACTTGGGTGGGCGGCATGCAAAGCAAGACCCTTACCTGTCTGTACTATCTAGCTGACCTGCAATCACAATTTTGAATTTAGACTTCTATATATTTACACACAAATATGCTTACAAACTTGGTAATATGGTTTTAGATGTTTTAATAGTCAAACTGTATCGTGCAAGTAACCACGTTTTTTTAAAATTTGTTCAGAGTATTCCATAGTATAAGTGAAACATTTATAATTTAACCAATTTCCCATAAAACAGCACTTAGGATGATTTTCTAATGAAGAAGCCTGGCGCAGGGTCTGGTGGCATGGTTATGAAGAGCGTCATGTTATGCTCCCTTCCGGGAGAGGACATGTGACTCTGGATGGTGGCCCATGACAAGATTATCTGGTGCCAGCCAGAGGTGGCTTATGGGTGTGACTGCTGAGTTGCTGGAGATAGGGGGAGATGGGAAGAGGATCCCATTCCCAGTCCCATTGAACCCAGAGTTCTCAGTCACAAAGACCCACATATCTGGGTTTTCTGGGTATTCACTCACGGGTGAGGCTCGGCCCAAGTGTGTGGAGAGCAGCGGCGAGCAGGGCGGCAGTTAAGTACTGGAGGTCTTAGGCGGGGGCAGGTGAGACCCCTCCCTGCCCCAAGGGACCCAGCCCTGGCAGCCAAAAACCTCCAGAACTCAACCACTGCCTTGCTCATAGCCGCTCTCTACACACTGGGGCCTCACTCATGAGTGAACCTATTCCTGCCCCACGTGACTCTTCATACCACACACCCTATCCATACTCCTAAATTATCGCACCACATTTGCTGGGGTTCAAAGTAGGAGGCACCAATTTTAGAGGGAAATATATATATTTAAAGGCCCTCCCGTTGATCGTCGATTTGCTCGAGCGGGCCCAGTAACGTCTCCATTGGAGACTTTGTTGTTACTGTGTCTGGCATATCGAATACTCTTGGTAGCTTGCCGGGCTCTCCGAGAGGGACGGAGGAATCGAACTCGGGTCGGCCATGTTGGCCGCTTGTAAGGCGAACGCCCTACCAGCTGTGCTATCGCTCCAACCCTATTTATATAAATATTAATATTTATATTATTAATATTATTAATAATACACACACACGTATGTATAAGCAGACAAGGCTCAACCTTTAACAACATGTTATTGATCTCTTATTGAAGGACTTAACGGCCCCTCGGTGAAATACAACAATCTTCAATCTTCAAACTCTCCTCTCCTCTAAGAAAAATTTTTTATAGCATTTTCCGTGGTTTTCTATAACAAACAATATAAAATGTTTCAATTCTTCTTTGGGGCAGGGGTTGGGGTTCGGGATGGAAATATCCAAAATATGGTAGTGGGAAAGTGTAATGGTGGTGGGATTGGTGTTTGAATATTAAATGTAATCAAATATTGTGAATGACTTTATAAAATAAAAATTTAAAAAGATGATTTTCTATTATTTCTACAAATGATGCTAAATCAAATATACATCTGTTTGCATTCATATCTAAGTTTTTCTTTACGATAAGTTTATACAAGTGGAATAGTTGCTTTAAAAAAATAATTTACATTCATTAATTCTAATACTAACATATTACAAAGAAATATTACTAATCTACGTTCCCACTAACAGTATGCCAATATCATGTCTTATGCTTCCTTTAACAGAGTGGGTTATTAAATCTTTCAAAATACTTTTGCATCTTTTGGAAAAGCTAAACTCAGTTATTCTTGATTATTAGTAAGGTTGATTATTAGTAAGGCTGCCTGATTATTAGTAAGGTTGGACATTTTTTAAATATTAACATTGCATATGTATATTTTCAGTTTATATTCTTTGCCCACATCTTTCTACTGAATTGATGTTTATCTAATACACGGCAAAGCTCTTTGTATATGTTCTGGACATAATTCTTTACTATTTAAGAACCAATTTCTTTCTTGCCCATTAGTTGCACTGAGTAATGTAATGTGTGAGAGGGAGCTTGTGCTGCATGGAAATAATTGCTTTTCATTAGTCAAACTTGTTAATCACAACAAAATGAGGCACACAATTTGTGAGATAGCATCTTCTTTATCACTGGTAACCAACGATTCTAGAATCAACTTTTAAATATTTTTCTTGCCAAACTGATCCAAATAGCGTGTGTATTACCAGTTTCTTATCTAGCTTGTTTATTTATTTATTTATTTTCTTTTTGGGTCACACCTGGAGATGCACAGGGATTACTCCTGGCTCTGCACTCAGGAATTACTCCTGGCAGTGCTAGGGGGACCATATGGGATTCTGGGAACTGAACCCGGGTCGATCATGTGCAAGGCAAATGCCCTACCTGCTGTGCTACCACTCCAGCCCGTTATCTAACTTGTCTCATGCTCTTAATGGATGACACAATTTCTCAAATGCCTCAATGGACTCACTGATTTTCTTTTTTTTTAACACACACTTCACCTCAGATCTTAGGTAGACTTTCTTTTGGGGTGTGGGGGATGCTCACAATGGTGCTCAGGAGGTTGGGGTGGGGGTGACCCATGATTGTTGGTCAAATGCCTGCTGATTCAGCACAAGGGGACACTGGGCTACCCAGGAGAGCGTGGGTCCTCCAGAGCTATTACAAGTGGCCATGACTATAGAGGGAAATGTGGAAAACAGGTTAATATGTATTTATTGAGCAAGTTCTCAGTCTACTGTCAAATATCTTGCATCATGTTTTTGCATCACTCATATTTTAGAGCCTCTATAGTGCACAGAGCCCATTTAATTTAATTCCCACAATTATTATATATCTTTTTTTGGGAGAAGGTGGGGTTAGTATCTTTTTCTTATTGGGGTATCTTCTCTATTTAAATTCCTTAGAAATGGTTAATGTTAGGCAAACATCAAGAGTCCTAAGATATTTACAGATATTTTTCCTAACCTCCAGACAGTTTGGTGAAAATTAAGAATTCTAAAGGTGCTGTCCAGGATGGGGATCAGCTGTAGGGTCGGGCCAGGGAACAGCTCGAATGGCTAGAGCACATGCTTTGAGAGCCGCAGCCCCAGGGCCCAATTCTAGCACTCTGCAGTCCCCTGAGTACTGCAGGCAGCAACCCCCAAGCACTGAGTGGGTGGTAGTACACCCTCAATCCCCAGAACCATGGTGTGTGATTTCTCACCCTCCAACCACCACCACTAGCAACAAAGGCTTCTAGTTCTAGATGCACTAAGCACCTAGGCACACACGGTTGATTTCTGTTCTTGAAACCACACAAAATCACAAGGGAAAGCGAAAAGTAAATGACTCATAAAACTGAAAAGACAAAGGAGAAAGAGGTAACTGAGTGGACACTGGGTATTAGAGAAAAATAGTAGATGAAACCTTAACTTCGGCCTTGGCCCCTAGAGGTGACTATGATGTCTTGATCCACAGTCCAAAACTTCAGGTAATCTAAACACACAGGGCTGGAGTAGGGTCATGTAAAAAGCTAAAGAAACAACACACTAGTTTGATACCCTTTATCTCTGAATTGCCCCCTTGGCTCAAGAGTCCTGTTCTCATATTTCCCCCCCAGGCAAAAATGATAACGGAATGTATTTTTTAGAAAATCGTGGAACACATGTCCTATATAGAGTGAGAGCTGATCTCCCCCCCCCCCCCCACACCGACCAAAAAAATATACTGAACTGCTATTCCAAGTTCCTCCATAAAAGGACCTCCTTATTTATGACTAAGATCAACTAGTATAAATGTTAGTTCCCAAGAAAACAGAAAAATGAAGCTGGAAACAAATCTGCAGACATTAATACCAAAGGAAACCCAGTAAAAGTTACTAAAATCAATGCCTTCGTTTTAAATATCGAAGGGCTAAATCTCATCAGACACCTGAAGAAAATTCTGAATGAAAAATATCCAATTAAGCCAACTGTATGAGGAAAATACAGGAGACAGGTCGGTGAAGTAGGAAAGAGGGTCAGTGAGACAGTATGAAAAGTAAGGAGCTTACAGCCACACAGATTTGAACCCTGGCACTGCAAGCTGTCTGGCAAGGGTCACCAAGAGTGAGCCCTGAACACAAACCCAGGAGTAAGCGCTCAGGATGGCTGGTTATGGATCAGAAACCAAAAGGAAAAGAAACACATAGTAGGAAAGATTAAAAGAGAAAAATCAATAACCTTGCCTGTATCAACATCAAAATACTTATTATATTCAGATTATTTTGTATTCAAGTATGGTTAGCTCTTGAAAAGTCTTTTAGACAATGTAATAATCAAGGCAGAAAAGGAAGATCATAATCCCAACACATAAACTTTAATTAAACTCATCTAGCATAACCTTCCACAATAACATGCCTACTGATTATGCCACTACAGCCAAAGAAAGAGTAGAGGAATAAAAGGGGGGGAGGGAATGAATTGGATTTATGTTATTTCTGCTACCATGAAAGAACACTGGCTCACTGAGGTACCTCGTGAACACAGGCACTCAGAGCAATGTGTTCCCAATGATCCAGGTGTTCAGATATATGAAACGTCTAAGGTTAAGTGGCAAAAGAATACCCTAAAACTGGAGACACGCTATACTTCATAAAACAGGTGACTTACCCTGGGAAAACGTACTGAAAATTGCAGGATCAATGGCCGGAATAGTCTGTGGAGTGGGCTGGATGGTATTACTTGCTACACCTGTGAATCAGAGAACCACAAATGGGTATGATAGTATTATACCTCTTGATTATTTTTATCTTAGAAAACACTTACAGGATTGTGAAGTAGCTTCATTGCTTCACTGAACTCTTTCCTTGAAATCTTAAAAAATTTGAATATAATATTTCAGGTTACAGTAGGGATATACAGGAAAACAAACTGAGTTTTTGCATACACGTTTTGGTAACATAGTTCTTATTATGTACTTTATAATGAGTAACATACAACTTCTTCCTCAATTAAAGTTTAGCAAATATCTTCAGAAATATGAGTTTCCTGTTATTCAATTTCTTAACAAATTAAATATTAGTAAAACAATACAATTATAAATAATTTAACTTAGGGAATGAATCTCATTTTATCATTTTGCATGAAATTACAAATCATACATTACAAATTTTCCAGCTTATGTTTTAAAGAATTTTTTAAATATCCAATAGTATATCCAGTTAATAAATATCCAGTTAATTTTAACATCCTGTTACAACTTGCTATGACTGTCACATTTAGGGAACAACGAACATTCTTAATTAATGCTAAATAGCAGCATGTTAGAATGAAAGAATATTAATCAACTAAAAAAATTAACACAATATGCTGAAACTTCACCAGAGACTTAAGTGATTCAATCAGTAGGAAAGCAAAGAATGAAAAACTGATTACTCTAAATCAATAAACTCAGTCTCAAAAGCCAAATTCTTTTGCCCAAGCTTACAATGTAAGTTAGCTTCAAATGAGCAATTTGTAGAAAGAATAATGAGAAAGACACTGAGATAAAATGGATGAGACAGGAAAGGGAGAAAATAAACCAACAAGTTTTCCAGAGGCATATATTATAGGATTTTGTAAAGACTAAAATGCTAAATAGAATTTGTAGAAAAAAAATTTTGAGTTTGAAGGACTCAAATCAGACTGAAAGAAAAAGGATTACATTTTTATGATTTTATTTCATTTAATTTTGTTTTATGGCAAACTACAATTTTTTTTTTTGTTGTTGGGAGGCGGTGCATTCTGGAGGTCCAGGTATACCAACAGAGATTCCTAGCCAAATGGACAGTGAGTTTAATGCAAGGATGCAAGAATGCTTGCATAGGTCCCCAGAATCTCAGGCCCTGCAATCCTGGGGATATCTGGGGCACCCCTAGCACAGCAATTGGAAACCTCTAGAGCTGAGTGAATGTGCTCATAAATCTATGTTCAATGCATAACAAGTTTTAATTTTTATGTTTTTATTGTTCTGCATTTGAGGAATCACCCAGTAGTGCTTGGGGCTTACTCCTGGTTTGGCTCAGAGGACTGTATGCAGTGACTGGGATGGAACCTGGGTCAGCCACATACGAGGCAAGCACCTAGCCAATGCATTATCTCTCTGGCCCACTTTTTAAATTCTTTTTCGCATCTACTATGATAAATTTAACAGGAACAAAACAATTTATAGGAAAAAATACAGTCAGCAAAAATTTAAACACTATTTTAAAATAGGTGGCATGCATTATTTTCTCCCAGTTGCATAATTTATTATACAAATTATCACAAGATGAGTTGATATTTGCTTCTCCAGACATAGGAACTGAACAGATGAGGTACAGTTTAGGATCTGTTTTATATTGTGTTCACAGTTGTTCTTTTTGTTTTTGTTTTTCTGGTTTTTTTTTTTAAAGACCTGCACTTGAACTACATTATCATGAAAGTAATAAGTAATTGCTCCATTTGGCCAGCCCAAAATTCAATTTTCCTGTCAGAATATAAAAGCTGAAATGCTTTCTAATTCCAGTGAACTGAAACTGGGTATCAGCTTCTGGACCTGTTGTGAATTCAATATTAGAAGAGGCACAAATTCTGTAGACTAGGTCCTTTGACTTACGCAGCCATCCCGGGGCCCAGCGAGAAGCAGTCACTGTGGGTCTGCTTTTTATTAAAAACTGGTCAATCTTTCAACTAAGCCTGAAAAAATCACACAGGCTGCTCAAAATGCTGCCTGCAGCAGTCAGAAGATGCTGCTTCTGGGTTGTTTTCTTGGCAACCTTCAGGGCACGCTGCCATGGGGCCGGACATACCAACACAAGCTCATAAATACCTGTTAAGTTAGTAAAAATGGTCTTGAGTTTATGTCATTTGTTTTTTGAGATATTAATATGCAGTCTATCTTCATTTATGTTGAGTTGAAAAACCTTTGTTGTCAATTCACAAATGGGTTACAGATCCTTATACTGTAATAAGTTGACAAGGTGTAACAATAAAAACATTTTTGTGGGAAGCAGAACTGGGTTGAAAATTCCTCTCTTTTTTTTCCTAGTTTAGATCAAAAGAGGAGTGCTAAGAACCTTCTGGTCAATTTTAATGTAAATATTTACACAGCCCATTAAATATGATTAAAACAAATTAACATAAGAATTAAGCACTATAAAATTTGAATTAAATATTAAATTATTCCACTGACTGCACTGTGTGGGGATTCTGAAAAGAGAGAAATGGGTCTTTGGTTAGAAAACTCTCCAAGAAAGTATAAATAAACACACTAATAAAAAGCAATGCATTCAGAGAGGCAAAGAAACCATAAAACAAACAAAAGTGTGCTGGGGTGGCGGGGGAATCATGCTTAGGGCAGAACATGAAGAATTTGGAAAACTATTCAAGAGCTCAAGTGCAATACTTTTGACACACAATTATAAAACAGCAAAGTTTTTAAAAGTCTATTTATATGGTCACTGCATTTATAATTAAAAGGCTACCATTAATTATAAAACAATCCTACTGTTCACCGTCATTAGAGATTGACTCCTGAGACCACCTCCCTCAGTATTTACTGGGAAAATGTTGAATGAAACAAAACAAAAACAAAACCAAACCCTGTACATTGTATCATCTATATCTGATAGCAAACAGTGGTAAATATCAGTGGTTACACAAGAGGCAAACACAAACAACTGTTATCCCGGCCCTCTTTCTACCCCCAGACCCCTTCTGCCTTTTTGTGAAAGAACTAAAACTGACTATTAGTACTTACTATTCTTTTCAGCTATCGTAAGGATTTCCCTTTGATAAAAATGTATCCTGGAGCTTTATATGAGGGAAAGTAAATCATTCTTAAGTGAGTAACAGGGGAAACATCTGTTATATTTATAAACTAAAAATGTTAAAATGTTATTTCGTCTTCTACTAGGCTTAAGAAAAAAACTGTTTTAAATATAATAGAAAAAAAAAATCTGCCCACTAAGAGTAGATTCTAATATCTTCGAACAATCTTAAAGAGAAAAGCAAAAGCAAGCAAGCAGATTTTGACTTGCGGGGCTCCAAACTCCCTGGAGGAAGGGATGCAGAAGGGAGGTGCTGAAAACTTGACATCAGTAAGACATGGGTTCAAACTCTGGTTTTGCCACTACTAGGTATGTTTTTACCTTACTTCCAAAGGGAAAATTTAGTTTTTTTTTAAATAGCAGAAACTATTAAAGCATTGAAAGAAATAATATGATAAAAAAATCTAATTACTTAAATGTTAAATTCACAAGAACCTATAACTAAAAAGTAGAATTATATCCTAAAAAGAAATCCAAGGTCTTACATTTTATGCCCTCACTCTGAAAAACAAAAGAGCAAAAGAAAAGGCTTATACTAGAGAGTAACTGGATGAGAATGAATTACTCACAACAGAAAGTTCCAGACAGAAGTCTCTGTTGCTAAGATTTATTGTCATGGATAGCTTTTCAGCAGAAAATGTGTTTCTTCAACATCGAATACCAATATTTTATCACTTAATTTTAACAAGCAAATTTCACAGGGTTGAGCTTAATGTATACAATGTCTTTCTTTGGTACAGAAGTAGGAAAACAAAAACCAAAAAGGAAGCAATTTGCTGAACACTGATTTTATGTTAGGAATGGCACCAGTTAATGTTCATACTTTCCTTCATTAATAATTAAAAATAACCATGATACGCAACCAGTCAATCTTCGAAAAAGAAGCAAAAATATGAAGTGGAACAAGGAAAGCCTTTTCAACTTGACGTGGTGTTGGAAAAACTGATCAGCTATAACCAAAAAATAAACTCATACCTTTTCCTAATGCCATGCCTGAAAATCAAAACAAAATGGATTCAAGACCTAGACATCAGACCTGAATCTGTAAAGTAGACAGAAGAAAAAGTAGGCAGAACTCTCCATGACACAGAAGCTAAAGGTATCTTCAACGATGAACTACCACTGACCAAGCAAGTGGAAGCAAAGCTAAACAAAGGGGCTACATTAAACTAAGAAGCGCCTACACTTCAAAGTAAACAACAACCAAGATACAAAGAATGGATTGAGAAAAAATTATTTACCCAACACTCATCTGATAAGGGGTTAATAGAAGCACAGGTAGAACTTTACAAGAAAAAAAAATCCAACCCCATAAAATAATGGGGAGAAGAGGTGAACAATTATACTTGGAAATGATTACTCTGGACAAGAACTGAATGCTGAAAATAGGTAAAGGGACAAACATAAATGATAACCTCAGTATCTGTGTTGTAAACCATAATATCCGAAAGGAAGCGGGGGTGGGGGAGGAGGGAGAGGGAGAGGGAGAGGAGGAGGTAGGGAGCAAGAGGAGAGGGAGAGGAAGAGAGGGAGGAACAGAGAGGGAGGGAGACGGAGAGGCAGAGAGGCAGAGGGCATTGGTGGCGCTTAATGCGCACTGGTGAAGGGACAGGTGTTGGAACCCTGTATGACTGAAACCCAATCACGAACAACTTCCTAACTGTATATCAAAGTGACTCAAATGAAAACGGAAAAAAAAAGTAACCACAAGAAGAAGTAAAGCTGATAAAATTCATTTTAGAATGAGGAAAAAAACCTAGACTGAGAGACACTAACATCTGAGTCTGTGGCTAACAAAGAATGAAAACTAATGATTAGTATATCGGACTACAAAATACATGTTATTCTTACTTTGCATGCTAATACAAGTGCTTGTGTATGGCACTCTTGATCAGTATTGAAAATAATTAAAACAATATTCATCTAAGGCAAATGCATCTGCATTGCTTGTTTTGCCTATTCTATACTACAAATATTAAATATTAAAAAGTTAGACAATAATGGGGAGGGTTGGAGTGATAGTACAGTGGGTAGGGCATTTCGTCTTGTACACGGCTGACCAGGGTTTGATCCCCAGCACCTGTATGGTTCCTCAAGCACTGCTAGAAGTAATTCCTGAGTATAGAGCAAGGAGCAACCCCTAAGCATCACTGGGCGTGGCTCCCACCCCCTCAAAAAAAAAAAGAAAATATTGTTAAAGTACGCAACAAAATTGTACTTAGAAAATCACTTTGCCTGTTAATATTATCACACAGACCTTAAAATAATAAATTCAGAGTAAAATCAGAGAATATCAATATAAAAATTGTTAAAATTGTATTCTTCTAAGCTCTGAAGACTAAAAATGTTTGCCCTATTTGCAGGTAATTTAAAGAGACCAGAAAGATAGTCTAGGGGTTAAGGCATTCGCCTTGCACAAGGCCAACCCTGGTTCCAATTGCAGCACCACACATGGTCCTCCAAGCATCACCTAGACTGAGCACCACTTGGTATGTCCCCCTTAGCCACTCCCCCCGCCCCCCAGAAAAAAAAATCACCAACCCCCCCCAAACAAACCCATATACAAACAAATCCCCACTGGGAAAGACTCAACTTTCTTTCTTTTGCTTTTTGGGCCCAACCAGCTGTACTCTGGGTCTTACTCCTGACTCTGTGCTCAGGGATCACACCTGGCGAATTTGGGAACCGTCTGGGGTGCTCCCCAGCACCCGAGATTAAATCTGGGTGGGCTGCATGCAAAGACTCAATTTTCTACTGAGTTGGAATTGAACTTCCAGGTCTTACGGCACTCGATGACCACCACATGACTCTTCCATCAAGGCAGAAATATGACAGGGAGGAGGGTTATCTGTGAGTGTGCTGAGAACCTGGGAAATTCCCATTCCCATTTCCTACCTGCGCTGTGAGGCACTTCTGCGGGTGTGTTGGCAGGTGCATGCGCGCCAGGCGGGATCTGGATGCCCGAGAAGCCGCTGGAAGGTAAGCTGCCAGGGTCGCACGCTGAAGTCCCAGCTTGAGGAGGCTGTGTGGGCAGAGAGGAGGCTCCCGCGTCTTCGCTTTCTTCGACATCTGTTACATAGATTTATGCAGCGTTAAATTAGGTAATCTCGAATAAAAAAACACCCCAGATTATTTTGCTACATAAACACGACTCTTCAGATATTCTGAGGCAATTCCACGTAATGCAGCTGATCAGCAGGCTCAAGCATTTAGAGGAAGGTTGGGTTTTGTTTCTCTTTTTCTTACGCTAACTCCGTGCCTGACAATGTAAGGATCACTTTTAAGTTAACACTTCCTACTTCTGTAAAATCTTTGAATATTGTACGTGTTTCTCAGAAAGTAAACTCTAATAGGGCTGGGAGTGGGAGGAGGAGAAACAAAAACTTACCACAACCTTCTTGTTAAACTTCAGACCCGTTTAAGAACTTTTTTTTTTTTTTTTTTTGGTAAAACACACTACACTTAAGCTATCCAAAAAGAATGACATTTCTTTTTTTTTTTCTTTTTGGGTCACACCTGGCGAAGCACAGGGGTCACTCCTGGTTCTGCACTCAGGAACCACCCGTGGCGGTGCTCAGGGGACCATATGGGATGCTGGGAATCGAACCCGGGTCAGCTGCGTGCAAGGCAAATGCCCTACCCGCTGTGCTATTAGCTCCAGTTCCAAGAATGACATTTCTGACAGCTACATTTTACTCATTACTTATTGTTTACTTGCTATTAAGTAATTGAGGCTCAGAACATCAAGCTAATCAAGAAAAACAAAAGAACGGATCTCCATATTTAGCTATGCAGAAAGAAATCATATTGTATCACTTTGAAAACAACTGAGAAATTAAATTTTAATAGTCTATTTAAAATGACAGCTACCCATTTGGGAATCTTAGTTAAAAAAAAATAGAAAAATGCAGGACGAGAGAGAGAGAGAGAGAGAGAGAGAGAGAGAGAGAGAGAGAGAGAGAGAGAACAGCGACAGGCTACTTGCCTTACACCGGCTGACCCAGGTTTGATTTCAGCATCCCAGATGATCCCCCAAATCCTATCAGTGGTGAGCAATGTGCCCAGAGCCAGGCGTAAGCTCTGAGCTCCTCTGGGTGTGATCCCCACCCGCAAACATTACAGATTTCTATAAACATTACACTCATTAATTTTTAGATCAATGTTTTTGTTTGGTTATAAACATACATGCCAATATAATTATAAATAGCATCAATTCTGCCTAAAGCTGAATTCCTAGTCTTTTGAGAAGTGTCCATACGGTTTTCCCAAAAGGCAGAACTAGTCAATGTTTCCACCAGCAGTGAATGAAGGTCCCTCTGCCCCTATATCCATGCCAACACTGCTTGTCTTTGTTCTCTGTGATGTGTGCCAAGAACACATCTCGTTGGGGTGAGGTTGTATCTCATTGTTGTTTTGAGTTTCCCTCTGACAAAGAGCATTTTTTCTTACGCATTTCTGACAACTGTCTGTCTTCATTGAGGAAGTTTCTGTTCATCCCCCACTCCACCCTTCCCGCCCATTTTCTGAGGGGCTTGGCATTTATTTCTTCTGAAGCTCTACCAGTGCTCACTCTATCCTGGATAGCAACCCTTTCTCAGTGAGTGGTGGGCAAACATTCTCTCCCAGTCTGTGGGGTGTCTTCTTATGTCTCTGAACGTGTGCCTATGGCCCTGCAAAGGCAGCTGCTGCTGCCACTGAGCCATCTCCGTGCCTTTGACCCTGAAGACACGTAGTTTTTATTTTTAAGTCATAGCATCGGTTCCTTTTTTTTTGTTTTTAACTTGACAGTCAAATTCCTCTATTTTATATGGTGACAAGGATCAAATCCCCAGAGCCTCATATATGCAAGGCATGTGGTCTAACACTAAGCCACATCCCTGAGCCCGGTTCAATTTCTCTTTGAGGACCTAGGTGAGGGGCCGCAGAGAGAGCACTGGGACTGAGGTGCATGCCTGATGTGCTCTGTGGTCTCCAGGTACCGGCATGCGGGTCCCTGAGCACTGCAGGGGGGCTTGAACTGGCCCAGGTAATCCTTGGCACTGCAGGTCCCTTGGAGCATGTCATCTTCAGTTTCACACTGAACTGCCTGCCAGGCGGGCTTCTTAGGTACCCAAAACACCAGGTGGAAGACGGACCCATCAACCCTCCAAAAGAAACAGCTCAGGAACAATCTCCCACTGCCATGTATATCTGAAACACGTTAATGTTGTCCATTAACCTTTTGCTCCCTGATTATGAGTGTGAGCTCTTATAAAGGGGGGTGTTTTATTATTCAACCTTGGTACCACGATCATGCTAGAAAAAAAAATCTCCCTAATAAAGGGGAAAAAAAATTTCTTAAAAAACAAACACAGAGCTAAAAAAAAAAAAAAGAGAGCACAAATGTCCCAGGAGAGGTCACGGGAAACTTACAGCTTTACCGGGCATCTAAAGTACAGCACTGTTCCTCATAATACTGATATTGTATTCTTGAGATAAGGGTGTATTATCAAGTGAACTGGTTGACACTTTCTTAAAAAGTTCAATGAGGAGGAAGTCTTGTTATCTAATGTCAAACTGGCTGAGAAAAAAACTTTTGCTTAAATTTAGAATAAGAGCAAAGTGTTTAGAATCAGAAAGATTTGAGTTCAAATCATTGCCTCTGCTAATTGATTGGAGCTTGGGTAAGGACGCCCAATCATTTCTAAGTCATAATTAGGCAGTGTTTAAAAATGTTTATCTGTCTCACACCTAACAAGTGTTACATAAAGCTTAAGTATTACCAGACAAGAGACTTTATCAAATAATATTATGCAACACATACATGAGTATAAATATATTCATCATATATACATAAACTAAGGAACTCTTGAGATTTCAGAGATCTCATGAAAGGCAGGCATTATTCAGATAGATAAAGACAAGTATTTTAGGAGGGATGGATAGTTTTAACTTTAAAAAGACACAAAGGGACTTTTTGGCTGCTATCTTCTGTAAGTTAATAAAAGGATTGTATAGTTGCTATTGGTTGAACTATCCCCTCGCCCTAATTTCACATGATGAAGTTCTAGATCTCCAAAGTGACTATATTTAGTGGTAAGATTGTTAGAAAGCTAAGTTTAAATGAGGTCATATAAGTGGGGTCCTAATCCAACAGAAGTGCAGTATTAAGAGGAAGGTTATTAGTGTTAGGTGTGTGTGTGTGTGTGTGTGTGTGTGTTACTGTGTGTGTATCTGTGTGTGTATGTGTCTGTCTGTGGACTCTTACTGTGTGTGTATCTTTGTGTGTGTATGTGTCTGTCTGTGGACTCAGAGGACCATATGCAGCATCAGGGATCAATCGGGGACGACCATATGCATGGTGAGCACAGTAAGCCCTGTACGATCTCTCTGGCCTCTGGAGTTTCCTTAATTTAGAGAATCTATAAAGTCTATTTCTTATATGGCTAATCAATAAAAACAATGTAACTGAAAATTATTTTTCCTTTTCTTTTTTCATCATAAACTAAAAGGCCAAATGAAGGAATGAGACCTATTTTTTCGTTATTCAATTTCAATTTTCCTGTATATATTAAGAAAAAAAATTACTAATTCCAGGTACAGAATAGTGTCTGTATAAACTGTATAAAAAGAGGATGGATATAACTATTTATTAAAAACACATTATAAAAACAGGGTCTTGGTAGAATCTGAGAAGACTGGGATATGGAATCAACCTCATAGTTTTAAATATCCTCTAAACATTATAAACTATGTCAATGTATTAGCTACTATGTACTATCCAAACCACTCAGGAAAAAAAAAAAAAGGAAGAACCTCAAATATATAAAATGCATTCTTTGTGGTTTGGAAATGTTTTATAAAGTACAGATTACCTGTTCTAGGTAGGAATAAAATCTGATTAGAAGTAGAAACAGAATATTTTGGTGATACATAGCTATTAAAATAACATTATTTTCCAACATCACTGAGTTTTTAACTATGTACCTAATTTTCATAGAACTTGGACCTGATGGGGAAAACAAAATATTTGATTCTTTCCCCAATATATATTTCAATATATATGAATAATACATACCATTGTCATCATCAATTCCAACAGGCCCTGCTTGAGGAGTTTCTCCATTCTTTAAACAATTATGGATATATGTAGCCTTCCACCTTGCATATTTTCTGTGTTTTACATTCTAAAAAAAAAAATTATCATCAATTCTAGACTGTAGTGGCCAAATAAAATTGTATTTATGACAACAGAGATTACAGTCTATTCAGGAGATAACACCTGCCTTTTCATGGTACAGCTATGATGACAGTTTTGCTGTATCCCTACTACCACTTGTTCCAAACACATTTGTGACTAATAACTGGCTCATTAAAAATGATCTTCCTCAAAATACAAGCCCAGTTCTCATTTATGGTTTTCTATTGCAGTAAAGGGAATATGGGAATGTCTCTTCAGCACACCTTAAAGGTCATGCACAGGGGAGACCACTATCAATAGACTGAACTATTTCTAAAAAAAAAAAAAAAGTAACATTTATTTGAACCTATGAAACCAAAAGAAGAAAAACCATAATAGTAAAAACAAAGGCTAGACTGGTGGATAAACTTTACCTTTTCCTCTGTGCTATGTTATTTAAAAGTTGTGGGGCTAAGTAACTCCAGTTCATAAAAGAAAAAACATTAAATGGGCTGTTGAAAGCAGAACTGAAAATAAGTGAAGAACTAGTTATTGTCTTCTTTTTCTCTTAAGCATTTACACTTAAGTCTATAAAATTAAATAAAAAAATTAAATTAAAAAATAAGAATTCAATCTGTTAACATCTTGGGGTGGCTAGTGGTGACCTTCAAGATAAACCAGTGGCACTGGTATCAATTGTGAACTTTGTGAAATGCAGAACTTTTAAGCCCAATCAGAACCTACTGAATTTATTACTTCACTATAACAATTTCATTATTTCCTTATCATAAGCACCAAGTGATTTTTATGCACATTAAGAGTGTAAGAGAACACAGGATTTTATAATCTGGAGACCAAGTGTAACTTGTCATTCTGAGAGAACTATTAAGTACCATTAAGTACCAATTCACTATCAAGTTGATACTTGATCATTTTATGAGGCTATGTGGATACTTTTAAAAGTGGCATATAAAAAGTCTTAAATAAATGCAACCCCCAAATTACTGAGTTTGTATCATCTTCTGTTTCCCTTTACTCAGCAATCCTCTAATATCACTGTCACTGTCCTCCCGGTGTTCAGTGATTTTGCTCAAGCGGGCCCAGTAATGTCTCTATTGTGACAATTATTACTTTGTTTGGCATATCTAATACATCACAGGTAGCTTGCCACTAATATACTGTACCTTAAAAATATATCCTACACACTAATTTCCATTTTCTTTTCAGGTATAATTCATTTCACTAAATTCTACCCACAAATTTCAAAACAAATACACATCTTCCAATTCATCACTTCAATTAATTTTCTCCTTACTGTTCTGCTTATTCTCATGATACCAAAGTTAGCAGAGGAAGCCAATCGTGTTCCTGCCCTTTCTAAAGGGACCCTCTGGGCTGCCAGTCTCTTTCTCATTTATGTCATCAGTTCACTAGAGGAACTGCTTTTATTAATGTCACAGATAGCATATTCCAGTGGAAACCACTGATTAGTGTGTGGAGTTGTAGGGGTCTACAGTCTACAGGGATCTTACGCTGGTTCATGGAAATGGTTCTGCTTGCTGCTTAACTGAGTGGTTTTGAACTGCACCACATGTCTAAGAAAGTTGTAAATCACTGGCTACTCCACAGTGGAAAATTCAGCTGACATTTTTCAGGCATCATCTTACCATGTCACTTAGAAGACTGCTTTGCACAGGATCACGCTGACCTTTGTGACACATTCCCGACTCCTAGGTTTGTATGCTGATCTACCTTCTAGTTTCCTACAGGGGATCTTTTCTAAATCTCTAACTCAGGTTGGAAATGATCACTCTGGACAAGAACTCAGTATTGAACATAGGTAAATGGATATACATGATAACCTTTTAGCATCTGTATTACAAACCAGAATGCCTAAAATGAGAGAGAGAGAGAGAGAGAGAGAGAGAGAGAGAGAGAGAGAGAGAGAGAGAGAGAGGAAAAGACAGAGGAGAGGTGCCTGCCATAGAGGCAGACTGGGGTGGGGGGTGGCTTAAAGGGGTGAGAGGGAAACAGGGGACACTGGTGCTAGGAAATTACACTGGTGGAGGGATGGGTGTTGGAACACTGTATGACTGAAACCCAATCATGAACAGCTTTATAATGCTCAATCACATGGTGATTCCATAAAATAAAAAATAAATTGAAAAAATATCTAATGCAGGGTTTCTCAATGCTTTGTTGACTGTGTCTTCCTTCTGACCTTGTTCCCTTTGCCATTTGCAACTGGTGCCCTTGGAATACCTTAGGGATATAAGGCCCCTGGCTGAGAATATTTAGTCCAGTACAGAAATGGGAACATTTTGTACCTGCAGGCCAGAACTGCAAATCTCCTGTTCAAAATATTCTTTCATACACTGGTTAGATAGGACATTGCAAACTGGTGGGCACTACTAACACTAATGCCTATAGAATTTTCTATCTGAATTGTTTCCCTCATAACTAGCAGAAAACTCACAAAAAATCTCTTCTCTTCTCTTCTCTCTCTCTCTCTCTCTCTCTCTCTCTCTCTCTCTCTCTCTCTCTCTCTCTCTCTCTCTCTGTCCCCCTACCACCCCTCCCCAAATAAACTGAGTCCAAGTTTATCTGAAAATGATCTGCCCTCAGCAGAGGTGCTCCCCTTCAGCTGATACATCTACTATGTATTTTGATTCACGGCACTATGTACCAGACTCCTACAAGCATAAGGATTCCTGTCAGAGGTTATTTCTCTGTGCTTGCTCCCACAGTTTAAAATAGTACCAATCAATATATTGTAATCTCTATTAAGACATCTATGTTTTAATAAAATTCAAATCATTTGTCCCAATTCCTTGACTGTTCCAGCAATCCTCCTAGGAAACTTCATTTCCCCAAATTAGAAATTAGAGGGCATCATTTTCAGCACTTTTCTCAGCTTCTAGCCCAATTCCCTTGCCTAATTTCTAGGAAACTTGTTGATTTTACTTTTGAAACATTATGAATTGATGTTCATCTCCCATTTTCTCACCAACAGTGGCTGAACCTATCTCCTTATAGTCTTGATTTCTCCCCCCCCCCCCCCCCACACACACACACACTTTTTCATCCAGTGGTTAGAGTTACCTTTTAAAAAGAAAACTCCAGTCATGTCATTCTTTTCAATGGTTTGGGCCAAGAGGACTATGCCTCACCATCCGACAGCCTGCACTGCAGGACTGAGGCTACAAGTTGGATATCAGCACTAACCTGTACCTGTACATGCAATCATGGCAATAACGGCCGTGACCTCCAGGAACCTCAAGCTAAGTGCACGTGAGCACCACAACCAAGGGCGCAACCTCTGGCATCACAGCATTAAAAAGGGAAAACAAAACTTGTTAAAAGAAAAAACAAAACAACAACCAAAAAACAAAATGACTATGAGTTTATCCTATTTGGTTCTAACTGTCTAACTTCTTCTCATGCTCCCATACCAGTCATTATCAACTAGAGATGCTGGCACCTTTTAAACAGGTGAAAGTCCACACAATTTAGTTTCCACTGCCATTTCCCAGCATAAGCAATTCACATTTTCTCGGAGTTCAGAGTCAATTCCTCATAGTTCAGATCAGAATTTAATTTCCTCAAAAAATGCTTTTCTGAATTTCCAACGTTAGGCAGGGGCTTTCAGTAGCTCTCTAGTATTTTAATCATAATTAAATGTATATGAAATCCTCTCCTGCAGCATATACATACCCTAACTCTAAGTTCAATAACGGTTAAGATCTGTCTAGTTTATATTATATCAAATACTTGGTGGCTTTGTGATCAGTAGTAGTATAGTTCAATAAATATATGTATCTCCAATTTCTTTTAGCTTTACTTATTCTAATGGAAATAATTCTGCTCAATAAATATTTTACCTCTGTGGTAATATAATGACTGCTGAGTTTATATAGCTCAACTAGTTTTACTATAAAGTAATATAGAATGATTGAAATTTCAGTATTTGGCTGTTTTTTTTGAACAATAAGAATTGCAGCATCAACTTCCTTCCTTCCTCTACATTATTTGGGAACAAAATCATGAATTTAATCACTAAGTTTTCCAGAATAGTTTAACCTTTTTCCAAAATCTGGACAACTGGAATTGAAGGTCTACAAGCATTAGAATATTATCTGACTTAGGTATACATGTCCACTTGAGTTCACCATTTGTAATATGATACTTACAAATGTTCACTAATAGCCTATATTCCAGCAATATAAACTAATAAAAGAAGTGACTATTTCAAATTTCCCTCTTTTGAGAGGAACCAGAAACACAATTAACTCAACACTGTTTAAAGTCTTAATAAATTCTTGCTATTAAGAACTCCAGTTAGACATAAGGGAGATATAAGACTTTTCTGATTGTTTTTGTTTTTTATTTATTTATTTATTTATTTTTGCAGTTAGAGAGCTGATTATCTTGGTATGGGCACTAAAATACAAAATATTACTATTATTGTAAAGGATGTATAAAATTACAAGTTTCCCATTATAAAATTATAGTTATAGATAAGCCACAACAATGCAAAGTACATCAATGACCTTTACATACAATATAGAATGCTGCATATTTGGAAGTTGCTGAGATGATAGATATTATAAGTTTTTTAACTGCCTCCCTTCATTGTTGCAGTTGTGATAATGAGAGATTGCACCGAAGCTTGGTTGTGGCACTCACACATTTCTCTCTGTGGGGGCGGGGAGTCACATGCCAAACTGCAGTGCCTACACAGTCACCATGCTCTCTGAGGTCTGGGCCCTTTCGGTTGTGATGTCTGCACAGGGGCTTGGCAGAGGTCACACTCCTGCACTCATGAAGTCCCACTTCTGGCTGTGATACTACAATTGGCTATGGTCAGTATAGCTGTGTATTTCACTTTGGTGCTTGAAAGGTCTGCATCCCTTTGTGTAACACACACGCACAAACTCACCTCTTCCTACATGTGGTTTAGACAGAAATCCTCTGTGAGCACAGGAGATTTCAGCAGCAGAGATCAAT